CGGCTCCCTGCGCTCGCGAGCTCCGCGGCCTCTGGGTGCTTTTCCTCCCCCTTCAGACCCGGGGGCTTTTTTCCCCCCTCGCTGTTGCTTTTTGCTTCCCGAAAGGTCCTGCCAAGATGCTAAGTTGGAAACTGAGGCTGCTGACGCCTTGTACGCGGCGCGGCGAGGCTCCTCCTTCGCGGGGTGTTGTCAGTGGAAGGAATGGCAGGCGCTGGCCCGCACAGCCCAGCCCAGCCAGCGGGAGAGCTGCGCGCTGCGCCTCGCCTCGCCTCTCCAGCTCGCAGGCTCAAGTGCGCCGGCTCCTGGATGGCAATCGCAGCCGAGCCCCGTGCCATCAGCTCCAACTTTCTTCCTGCGCTAAATACCGCGCGGAGCCAGCGCCTTTGCCTCTTGATTTATAGCCGGACCGCGCTGCAATGCAAGCCAATCCGTTGATGAAAAAATATTGAATAGGACTGATCAGCCATTCACCCCCCCCCCCGCCGCCTTCTCCCGCCCCCCCTGAGCCGGTCACTGGCACTGAGCGCTTAAAAAAAAAAGGTGGGGGGGGAGCGGGAAGTAGAAAAGAGACTTTCCATTTCAGCCAAAAAATCCATTTTCAGGAGAAAAAGGCTCCTGGGCAGCCAGGATCTAGGGGGGTTAAAAATAACAACACTTGCTATTTATAGATCCCTCCTTTGCAGCTGCGGTGTCCACACACACACACACACACACACACACACACCCCTATGCAATACAATTTGATTGATCCGTATCTTTCTTAAAGGCTTCAAGGCGCTGCCCGTTTATTCCCCAGCCGGGGCAAGGAGGTTGCTGGGCTGCTGGTTTCACCGGGCGGGGACTGGGAGCCGGGAGCGGATGTGCCCCGGCGCCGGTACCTGTTGCAGTTTTTTGGTTGGTTTTTTTTTAAGTGAAATGTGCAATAGACCAGATTTGCGACACGCCGGGCCGCCCCATCCCCACGGGGAAGAGCCGATGTTTTCCAAATCGGAAGTTTCGAGGTGGTTTTCCTCCCCTTCTACTTAAAGGAATCATTAAGACGTGACTTTAAATTGTGTGAAAATGGAGTAATTTATTCTTTCTCGGTACCAGTCCCGGGAGAAGGGGCTGGGGGGGAGGGGTGATGGGAGGGGTGGAGAGGGGAAGGAGAGGAGGGTTGGGAGACAGCCTTCAAAATGAGGGTTTACCAGAGGATCTAAGAGAATAAACCAGGTATTTTTTATTTCTTTCTCTAAAACTCATAAAAGGGTAGAAGCGAAAGCAGATTAAAACCATATGAACCAGACTAAATCCCTGACGATCAGAGGATGTAATCTCCTTTGATTCCACCAGATATATTTCCCAACAGGAACATATCCCGATTTATTCCCTTCTCTCTCGCTCGATTGCTTCCCCCACCGCTGCTAATGCAAGCCCCCCCCCCCACGGCAAGCTGTGGGCTTCCCCGCAACCACTCATTCCCATAAAGCCAGCACCCCGCCCCCACCAGTGGGGCTGAATCCTGTGCTGCTCTTACCTGGGTCCCCTTTCAGACCTGCCGGCGCCGCTCCCACACGGGCTGCATTTTAATTCGCTTTACTCGAGCGCTCGCTCGATCTAATTACCCCGCTCCCGGCTACCCTCAGCGGTGCCCAAGACAGAGATTTCGCGTAACATGCGCCGGCTCCCGGCAGACCCGGGCGGCTTGCCCCGCGCGCTGGGAGCTCCCTGCAGCATGTGCCTTCTCACTTTGGCAAAGCGTGTCCGCTTCAACCACAGCAAAAATGTTGCTGCCAACAACAGCCAGATCCCAGCACACAAACGCCAGCCCAAACGTTGGAGCTCCAAACATGTAAAGTTTAATTCACGCCATGTGCTGCCTAGAGAGCGAGAGTCCCGACACGGGGAGCGGAGATGGGCGTCGGGGGTTTCTTTTGATTTGGAAAATCCTGGGGTTGCAACATGGGCATGTGTGCGCGGGGTGCGTGCGTGCGTGCGTGTGTGTGTGTTTTGCCCAGATGTCCACCAAATGCCTTTTCCTTTCTTTTTTCTCCTCTCTCTTCGGGGCGAGAGAAGAAGCAAGGAGGGTTTTCGCTAAGTTTGGGCGCCCGGCGTTGGTGGCTGAGGTGCCAGCCGGGAATGCGCTCCCGGTGCTTCGCGGTGCAGCTGGAAGCGTTTCCTGTGCGGAGGCTGCCTCTGACTTCCCGCACCCGGGCGGGCCGGGGCCAGGCGCCGGAGCGACCCCCGCGCCCGGCCAGGTGAAGTGTAACTGACACGAGGTGTCACCGAGCAGCCGAGGGGTGAGAGCCCGGCGGGGCCCGCTGACTCGCGCGGGGGAAGCGGCTTTCCCCCGTGGTGGAGATTAACTCTTTCGGGCCAGCAGCGGGAGAGGGGCCGGGGAGGCTGAAGGGTGAAGGGACAATCTCTTCCTGCAAGTCTAGCAGGAGGCTCGGACCAGGCGCATCTCCTGGGCTCTCCCCCCCGCATCCGTATTGATCGCTCTCCCCCTGGCTCTGCGGCTAATGCCGGGTGTGCCTTACGAGTGAGCTCTTCCCCGAAGCAGCTCCGCCAACACGTGTGCTGGGAAAAGCGTGCACAAATAAAAGGGGTGGGTGTGTGTGTGTGTGTGGGGGGGGGGGCTTGGTAGAGAAGCGGCGCTGAGCGGTTCGCCTGGCACCGTTTGTGGACGGATCAGTGCGGGGAACACGAGCGCCCAGCCCGCCCGGCCTCCAAGCGTTTCCGCTGCGGTTGCCCCGACGTTTCGCTGCAGCCGGGAC